GAAGTGGCAGAGTTCAGGCTGGACATGATGGTTCATACCTGTAATCCCAGCACTTTGGGTGGCCTAGGTGGGCTGATCACCTGAAGTCAGGAGTTTGAGACCTGCCTGGCCAACATGGCAAAACGCTGTCTCTACAAAAAATAAAAAAATTAGCTGGGCGTAGTGGCGCATGCCTATAGTCCCAGCTACTCAGGAGGCCGAGGCAGGAGAATCGCTTGAACCAGGGAGGCGGAGGTTGCAGTGAGCCAAGATGGTGCTGCTGCACTCCAACTTGGTCAACAGTGGGACTTCCTTAAAAAAAAAAAAAAAAAAAAAAAATTTGCTGAGTTACTGATCTTAAAGTTGTTGTTCTTTGTATATATTATTTAAAAATCAGGTCAGTTGCCTGTAGGGGTTTCCATGTTGACAAAAAGAGTCAAACTGTAAAACATTGAAGAGACGGCCCGTCCTGGTGGCTCACGCCTGTAAACCCAGCACTTTGGGAGGCCGAAGCAGGCTGATCATGTCAGGAGTTCAAGACCATCCTGGTCAACATGGTGAAACCCCATCTCTACTAAAAATACAAAAATTAGCTGGGCATGGTGGCATGTGTCTGTAATCCCAGCTACTTGGGAGGCTGAGGCAGGAGAATTGCCTGAACCTGGGAGGCAGAGGTTGCTGTGAGCTGAGATCACACCACTGCACTCCAGCCTGGTGACAGAATGAGACTCCATCTCTCTCTCTCTCTCTTTTTTTAAATAGAGATGGGGTTTCACCATATTGGCCAGGGTGGTCTCAAACTCCTGACCTTGTGATCCACCCGCCCTGGCCTCCCAAAGTGCTGGTATTACAGGTATGAGCCACTGTGCCCAGCCTCGGCTCCATCTCAAAAAACAAAACAAACAAACAAAACACAGATTGGAAGAGATTCTGTGCCAAATATGAGTGACCAATGGCTGGTGACACAGCCCTTAGGAGATCCTGAGAACATGCACCCAAGGAGGTTAGACTACAGCTTGGCTTTTAGGAAGACATAAGACATTTGTCAATACATGTAGATGTACATTGGTTCAGTTCAGAAAGGTGGGGTGGCCTCAATTGGGGGGTTTCCAGGTCGTAGATTCAAAGATTTTCTGATTGGCAACTGGTTGAAAAAGTTATTGTCTAAAGACCTAGAATTAATAGAAGGGAATGTCTAGGTTAAGATAAGGGCTTGTGGAGACAGCAAGATTTTCATTAAGCAGAGGAAGTCTCCAGGTAGCAGGCTTCAGAAAGAATGGATTGTGCTTCTCTGTTTTCTTTTTTTGAGACAGTGTCTCACTCTGCTGCCTAGGCTGGAGTGCAATGGCATGATCTTGGCTCACTGCAACCTCTGCCTCCCAAGTTCAAGAGATTCTCCTGCCTCAGCCTCCTGAGTATCTGGGACTACAGGTGTGTGCCACCACAGCTGGCTAAATTTTTTATTTTTGGTAGAGACGGGGTTTCACCATGTTAAAGGCCAGGCTGGTCTCAAACTCCTGATCTCGTGATCCACCTGCCTTGGCCTCCCTAAGTGCTGGGATTATAGGTGTGAGCCACTGCACCCAGCCGGATTGTGCTTATCAGAGTTAATTACCTCCGGGAGCAGGAAAAAACCTGGAAAGGAACAGCAATTCTTTACAGAATGTAGACTTTCCTCACAAGGGACAGCTTTGCAGGGCTATTTCAAAATACATTAAATCAATATAATGTGGGGTAAAGTACTTAGATTCCTTTTAGGCCTGTTATCTGTCATGTGATCCTATACCAGAGTCAGGCTGGAATTTGGTGTCATTGCTACAGAATCTACTTTGCAGCCTCAAGATCGGTCTTAATGTTAATGCTGGTCAGCTGTGTGGCTGAATTCCAAAAGGGAGGAGGGAGTGAGGTATGTCAGTCTCCCCCTTCCCATCACTGTCTGATCCAGTGTTTCAGGATAACTTTGGAATGCCCTTGGCCAATAGGCAGGGTCTAGTCAGATGGTTGCAAGTTAGAATTTTATTTCTGGTTTACACCTGCAATTGCTGAGTGCATCCTTGTAGAATCCTTTAGTACATTCTTGTCTTCCAAATTTCCAGTAATTCACTCTAGAAGCTTGTTCACATTTGGGTTAAACTTTTTTTCTGGCAAGACTACTTCATAGATGCTGTTGTATACTTCTGATGTCTAACTGAACTTTTTCTGATGTTAATTAGTGTGGGTAGCCCCCCATATAGGCACTGAGGAATGAGAGCTAAGCAGAGCCCTGGCACAGTTAGGGCTTGAGGAATATCTCACTTTATAGTGTTACTACTCAGCTATTTCCTTTTATATAATCCTTTACATAATCATATATTAGTTTATAGAAATAGGGCTTGAAGAATCCCTTTATATAATCCTCTCTATATAATCATATAATAGTTGACAGTATGAGTGCCTAAAGAATACTTCCCTACATATATATATAATTATATCTTAGTTCATAATCGGAGGAATGCCTAGAGTGGACTCAGTACAGAGCATGAATTAAGGAATAAGCAGCTTATAGTCGGAGGAATGACTAGAGCAGACACAGTGCAGAGCGTGATTTAAGGGAAAACAGCTACACCAGGACAAGAATCCATGGCCCAGGCAGCCGCGTTCAGTATCGTAAAGATACCTGCTGTATGGCAGGCTTGGGGCGAGAGCCACTCCTCCTGATAAAGGAGTTGTAGGACCTTGCTCCCGTTCTTGTGGAAGTGCCCTTGGACCGGCAATCCACCTTGGTGACTGTGAACTTTATCAGCTCTTGCTACTGTGCTGCTTGTAAAGCATCTTCCCGTAGAACCCACTGGAAGCTGCCACGTAGCAGTAACCCTGACAGCTCTGTCACTGCTGTGACTTAAAGCATCCTCCTATAAATCTTCTTAGAAGTAGTTTGCACCCCCTTACTGCACATGGCCCTTGCCTTCGTGGGAACAGACCCCTTGCTGTGCGCTGTCCACTTCCTGGCCTAGGTGACCTAATGGGGGTGGACCCCTTGTTTTACTGCTCACGACCCTATCACTATTCTTTTTTTTTTTTGAGA